TATTATTATTATTATTTATTATTATTATTTATCTTTTAGGGGCTGCTTTCTTACCTCATCACTGATAGGCACACTTGCGCTAAGCCTTACAATACCTCTGTCCATAATAGCTGACATGTGCATGCAAAAGGTAACGTACTACTAAGTTTTGAGCATTATTAACAGAATTTCTTTGAATTAAATGGCAGTGGTATTTTTAACAATGTATACAATGAACAGTATTTTACTTCTGTTGCTTGTTAATAATTGTTGAACTGTGTTGTAATTAATACTCTCTTGATATTGACAGTTACAGTAATTTTGCACTTGCAAGCATGCACTTGCTCACTTAAATATATTTGATTAAGATGCAGCTTGTATGAAAAGTACCCAAAGTCACCAGCAACACCTGGCCAAATGCTTTACCTTGAACAGGCACTTTTCAGAATTAAAGAACAACTGCAGGTACAGCACACCTTAAATTAATACCGTTACAATTATAGAATTGTTGTAGACTGCCTATCTTGAAAATACTCAATTAGTGACAAAACCAAAAATCTGCAGGTTTACCACAAAGGAATGTAGCAGCTACAAGACTTAATTGCACATTATTAGATTCATGTGGATATTAGGCTTCCATTTAACTGTCCTCCTTTAAATTCGTCTAGTTTTACTGGTATTGAGGTAATAGCTGTGGAAGAACCCTGCATGTAAAGAAAGAAAAGAATCTGATAATATGAATATAGAATAGAAACTGTATGAAGTTAGTTTATATCACTCTTCCAGCTGTATAGATACTTTTCATACTGGTGGGGTAGAATTCTCAGTTTTAAATATTTAATTATGTATGAACTTCAACTCTAACTTTGAATATTTGAATTTAATATTTAATCAGGGCAAGGAATATAAAATTCTTAATTTCATGTGAATAATTATTATTTAGCTTATATTGCAAGCATGCAGTTATTGGTGGTGTTTTGTTTTGTTTTTCCTTTAAATTGAGGTCACATAACTGTTTCTATTTCCTGAAGACAGGATCACTTGTTTCTGATCTTTATTTTGGATTTAAGTAATCCCCACTTCTAAAATTTTAATTTGAAAGTTAAACCACCTGTTTAACTCTTTGAAATAGCTTTCAACCTGATTTTATAATGCATCTGTTGTTAAAGCAAGCTTAACTTTTTTTTTTATAGTGATAACGCCCTTCTTTTTTCACGGGGCATCCCCACATAGTCCTTATGGCTATGCCTTTTGACACCCCTCTCAGTGTAGACATAGATGTATTTGTCACTTGACTAAAGTGTAAGTATTTCCCATCACATGCTTGTGTGTATTTTGACCGATGGTGACACCTGTATTTCACTGATGTTAAATGTGCGTATAGGCATGCGGTATGGAGAGGCTGCAGGAGTTTTTAAGAAAGCAGGGAGTATGTACTGGTGCCTGGTACTGTGTTTTCTGGGCTGAAAATAGCGAATTAGTCAGCATTTGAGCACCTTGGCCTAAATACAGTTTGTTACTGAAATACAAGAAGTTCTTTACTGAGATGATAAATCTTTATGTGAATTAAGAAGCAGTTTAGTCATGTCATAGTTCAGCTGAAACTATGAAAATGATATCAATAAAAATGGGCAAAACTGACCAAACTTAGAACCAACTATACAATACTACTTCTGAAATTTTGAATAGACTGGTGGTCTTGCTCTGCCAGCTGCTGCTTGCTTACACTGCTTTGATGTTCTTTTGGGTCTTGTAGCAAATGCAGTTATGCTTCGTTTCTAAGCTCTGTGCAAGTAGAAATGCGAAAGTGTGAGAAGAGAAAAATTCTGACTATGCCTGGAACATTGCTTAAATTGAGCATTCTCTGAGTAGTGGCTTCCCTGAAACAAGTGGGGTTTGTGCAGTATCTGTAGTTGTTCAATTTATGACTTGTTTTCAATCATTACATTTGAATTTTTTCTTTTGAGGCTTGTACTTATTTGTACAAGACTGACTCATGTAAAAGAAATCAGTCAAGTCTTGCACTTAGAATGATTCCTGCCAAAAAGAAGCTTTACTGCTCAATGTTTTCACAGGCAAAGTGTGTAAATTCTAATAGAACCTTTTGACTACTGAAATTTTCTGCAGGCATGTAAAAATGGGGAAAAAAATCCACACGACTTGTATTTTGCTTTCACTTAGTGTCAGTTTGGATTTTGGAAAATAAAGCAGAAAAATAAAAAAAGGAAAATCAAATTGGAAAATAAAAGGAGAGTCAGACCCTGAATAAGTACTTGTGTAACAAACCTGTGAGATACAGTATCTTTCATGTTAGTATTAGCTGAATATTCCAACACGGAAATACAGTAAAACCTTGCAGTGATTCCAACAATAACAAAGCATTTGTTGGTAAGATAACTGTATTTGTGTTGCTGTTAAAGTATCTGCAATATGCACTTGGGACATAAATTGTAGCAGGAAAGAAATAACTAATGATAGCTATTAAGGAGACAAGGAAAAAAAAAATCTGTAGACGTCTCCCCCAAAAATTCACTTTAGTGACATGGAATTAGGTTTATATGTAAGCTAATGCTGGTAGCAAAAAGTAAGAATTTTGTATGCTTATATGTGTGCATCTATACATATTTTTTTATATATACGTGTGTGTGTGTGCAAATATATTTTTAGAGATGTGTGTGTATATATATAGTTACGCATATCAAGACATGAAAAGCTTAGGTTGTCTTCTGAAGTGATTCATCTAAACGTTCTTTTGAAATACATTGAAAAATGGAATATGCTTTTCTAATTCTAAGTAAACAACTACATCTCTAGGCTATTTAATCTGAGTAAACACAGAGTCGAAATCTTTTAAAATTAATTTATTCTTCATGTATTCATTCATTTAATATTGAGCCATTTGAAATAGCCAAAACATTTTTAAGGTTCTGTTGGATGACTTTCAGTTGGATGTTGGTAACACAAGGGCAAATTATATTTTTAACTCATTTTTATAGTTTATCACTGTTAGAGTTGCTCCAGTTTTTATGTATTTGGTATTTATAAACAAACAAAAAGCCCCACAAATGTAGCTAACTGTCGATCTAACTTCCTGTACACCTTGTATTTGCTCTTTTCCTATTTCTTGTTTTAAATCTTCATCTTCCTGTGTTGTCTCAGTTTATGTGCTGGCAACATCTTTCATGATCTGAATCTTCATGCCCCTTGTATTTCATCCTCCATTCTTTTCATTTGCCACCACTTGGTTCCTTCTGGAGTTTGTGGTCCACGTACTTGCTACCTTCTGTTCCTTTTAATTTTTCTTTCTCTGTTTGAAAAGGCTACTTTGTCTTCCTCTGGGCAAATACAGAGCCTGACTGTTTTTAGGCAGCTGGCTATCAGGTGATGCCTCTTACATCTGCCGTGTGCAGTAGAGTAATCAGTGAGGGGTTGGGGGTTCATTTTCTTATTTTTTTGTTCCTTTTCCGATTCATATATGCATTTGACATTACTGTTCTTTCTTCTTCCCCTGGCTGTTATGTACTTGCTGTCCAAGTTTCTACTTTCTTATCTGTTTGGTGCTTTTAGCTTGTGGCTGCTTCTTATACGTTTGAGGGTATGTAAACTCTTACCATCTTCTGATACTGAACTGTTCAGCATGAGGTCATTGGGGGGGCCATTAAGACTTTGAAAACAAAGTAAATTTCCTACTGTATCTTCTCTTGCTGTTGCAGATAAATCCTTTGCCTCTTACTTTTTTAAAAAAGAAATTGCTAGTATTAGAAGCACAAATGAGCGACCCTAATTAAAGGCAAACTCCTGTAGACTTTGAGGTTGTTTGTACAAGTGCATTTGTGCACGTATGTCTCTGTCATACAAACATCAAAATATCCTAAGCCAAGCCTTGTGCTCACTGAAGTCTCATAGGCTAATAGAAATATAAGCTTCCAACTTCACACTTTCCAGTTAGTGCTTCTGGCCAGCCTTGTCTTTACACCATATTTCAGTTTTCTTAAAAGGAACCTATGTAAAAATGCCACTGGCACGGCTAGTAATGTAAAGATTGAACTAGATTAGACTATGAATATATGCAGTCTTCATATGACTGCCAAATGGTATGGTAGTTATACAATATGCATAATTGCTAACTTTCTGGGTCTTTATTATTCTGTAATAATCTGACATAAATCTGAATCTTAAGAAATTACAACCAAATTTTTAACAACTATTTAAATACTCCTTTTGGTAGCTTATGTGTTTATGAATTTCTGTTAGAAATCAGTAAGGATAACATGAGGCTCTAACAATTGCAGTTTATTAGATTTTTGAGAGTGAACATCAGTGCTAGGTATCAAAACTGTGCCTTTTTTCTCCAAAGTCTTCAACTTTGGACATTTTCTCCACAAGGGGGAGCCGTGCTTATGGGTCATTGCTCTGTTAGCCTTAAAGGTGTTTCAGAGACTAGTTCTTGTTCTTGCACCCTTGATTTCTCTAACCTTCTATAATTTTAAGTTTTAAACAGTCTCAGATGATCACTTCTGAGTGTAGTGGTAGATAGATACAAGTAGTAGTATAGATACAAGTAGAATTTAGTTTATATTGGGCAAATAATGTGCCCTGCCTTTTTCTAAATTAAAAAGAAAATTATTGTAAACTTCCAGTAGTATAGTCTTTCTGTGTGCATTGATTTCAGCTGTTACCATTCAGTGACAGTATATTCATAGTGAATAAACAGGTGCACAAATATCTCAGGTGAGATCTCTTATTCAAAATTTTTGAAGTGTCTAGGGGACTTTCTCACTGCTACCAGTCAGACAGCTAAAACCTAAAAATGAGACTATTTGGCAATAGCAGTCTTCATCCATTCCACTGCGCAAACAGTATGTTCCATTGTAAAGAACAGATCAGTGAAGAAATGTTATTCATTTATTAGAAGTAGCAGTGGCTATAGAAATTGTACCAAATAACTGACAAAAATATTTGTAATATTTCACCCAGTTTATGAGAACTGAAACGTCATCTCAAACTTAGAATAATAATTATTTCAAATAGACAGAATGCCTTTTTTTTTTTCTTCTTTTCTTTTCTCTCTTGAGTGAATGATGTTTGTGTTTTAATTCCAGGTGCAGTTTTCCTGGTTATTTTTTGCAGGGGCAGTCCCTGTATTTTTTTCTTTTTTCATTGCAACTCTCTTATGTCACTATAACAACTGGGATCCAGTGATGGTGGGAATCCGAAGAATTTTTGCCTTTATTTGTAGAAAACATCGAATTCAGAGGTAGGACAGTCACAAAGTATAATCCTATCTGTTCTTCAGCCTTTCCAATATCCTATACTGTTTTATAAGCCACAATACTCATACTGTATTTATTTTAATCTAATTTTATATTCAGGTGTATTCATATGTACTAATTTCTTAATAGTACTTGTTGCCAATCCATTCATTAACCTATGTAATGCTCAGAAAATGGAAAGATGTGAAGTCTGTTTACCTTTTAAAAGAAGTTTCTTAGTGGCTGTCAGAGTTTTCTTTTTTTTCCCCTTAATGCTTCTATGATAGTTGCCGTACCCAGAACATGCAGTGAAAATTGTGCAAACTTGGGTATACTTCATGAAGTTAAGAGGTCTTTGTATGTTTTTAATGGCAGCAGTTCAAACTACTAGCATACTTAGTACTTATGTTGGCTTCGTAACAATCAATTTAATATTACTGTATAACTTTAAATAAATAAATTTGTTTCTTTTAAGAATGCCGGAAGAAAGTGAGCAGTGTGAAAGTCTCATTCCTATGCATAGTGTTTCACAAGATGGAGACAGTTGCTGTTCATAGACAAAAGGTATGCTTAATAAACCAAACAGTACAGAGAAAGGTGAGGATTGGTTTTCATGATAGCATTTGTGTTATATGAGCACACGTTTTTACAGAGCATACAGTTAATCTTGTTCTGTATTGATGGATAGAGTTTTGAAGGGTATCTTCAAAATTATTATTACTCGTTACCAAGCATTATTCTCACCTTGATACAGTTCTTGGTCAATGGTTTTGAAATGTAAAGTAGTTTTTTACTTAGGAGTATTACAACGTTCATCAGTTTGGGCTACTGCAGTTCATGAAAAACATCGACTTTGTCATGATGGGTCTATAAAATGAGAAGGAGTCCTTGTGTTTGTGGTTGACAAGAATTAAGTTGTTAAATTGCATTAAGTATTAGGGAAAATATTTCTCATTATAAGGGAAACTAGAGTAGAATACCTAGGGAGTTTGCAAAATATCCCTCTCTAAGAGGAGATTACGCAAACCTCTAACACAAACATTAAATGGTTTGTTGATACTGTCTTGGAGCATAAAGATAAACATAGTTTAGGACTCTCTTAGCCCTGTGCTTCAGGGCTTTAGTTTTCAAATAATGCATGCAGAATTACATGATAAGAAGTATATTTTTATTTTCCAATGTTGCTTAAATCTAATAATGAAATATTATTAGAATATTTTCATTATTATAATGAAAAATATGCTAACTAAGACAGTAATTGTGATGTCTTAAGTTTAAAACACACAAATTATTTCCTTTATTAATAAGATGGAAAAAAATACATATGGTGATTCCTTTTTTGTAATCTTTAATTATGTAGCCCTGATAATTTTTTTTTTTTCTTCCCCCCCCTCCTTAGTTTAAAAATGGAATGATGCCCAGCGAAGAGACAATCTTCTGGAAAAGTCCCTAAGGAATCATGTTTCAGTGCCTATTCTGAATTTGTAGTAAAAATAAGAAGTTTCAGTTCTTTTGAAACTCTAAACTTTTCCTCTTTCTTGCTTTCATCTGGTTTTATAAATGAACAAATTTACTACATGCCTATCCCCATAGGGAGTCTTAGTCCATCTGAGCAACCAACCTGCCTTATAATACTGAGCTGGTGAAGTTACTTGACAAAATCAAGAAAACAAATGCTGTTAAGTGATTTCTTTCCTTTTTTAACTCACAATTTTGTTAAATGCTGGACAATATTATTTTTAAAAAATACTTTCAAATGTGTTATGTAAATAAGTTTGCAGGTCATCAAGTCTTACAGGCTTTCAGATGCAAAGCTAAATAGATATGTAACCTGTAGTAGGTACAAATTAACTTTTTTATGTTGTATAAACTATTTGCATATTAATAGAAGGAAATAGAAAAATAATTTATTAAGTGCATTCTTGTAATTATTGAGGCAGGATCTTTGTACGGTCCTGGAACACTACACATATATTGTCTTATGCCATTTTGAGAAGCCTTGTAATGGCAATGGGTGCCAATGTTTAAAAATCTTCTGTTACCTAACAATCTGGAATGTTTAAAATTTTAGTGAATGGTAAAATATTTCTAATTACCATACATTTGAGTGTACATTCTCAAAATCTATGTTTGTTTTAAACAGACTGATTCTGTAACCCATTCTTATTCCCAATTATCTCACATGGAAAACTAAATTTGAAAATTTTTGTAAACTGCCAACTTACAAAAGAGATCAAATTAATTGTCAAAGTTTTCAGTCAATGGGTTGGCACTACCTATTTAGTAATCTGCTAAAAAATCTGAAAGATAAAGGTGTTTGCATTGATTACCCACCCCAGTTGCATTAATAAATTTATTCTAAAATTGATCATTTTCCTTATAACCTCTACCTTCCTTCCACTGCAGCGCTTCTGTCCTATTTGATTCTGGAAAGTTATGAATAATTACATCAGAAATACCTGACATTAGTCAGTGCCATTTCCAACTTCTGGCCTATAAGACACTTTTATATTGAAGTTAATTTTGGCTTTTGATGGATTTTATTTTCTTTACAACGAAGGTAGGATGGATTTTCAGCCAACAGTATTCTTTTCCACATAACAAGATTATTAATAATGTGGGGTACTTCTACTGTCCTTCCACACAAGTATAGAAGGATGATATAACACAAATGCCTTTTCATGTTTTGACACTCAGTAATAATCCTTCCAAAAGAAATTTTGGTGGTTTGGTGATACAACTAGTAGACAAGAGGAAATGCAGGAAAGCAACATGCTTAGCTATACATTTAGAAGGATTGATTAGCCAGCAGCTAGAACTTATTGTAAAAATCTGTAAGTAGAGATGAAGGAAAAAAAAAGAACCTGGTGGCTATTCTGGTCAAATATTGCACCTTTATCAAATTTTTACTTCCAATTTTTAATATTGGATTACACTACAAGTTTCAGTGATCTGAGGCATCTCTTTAAGATGAGATAGTAAGTGGTTCTTTGGACACCTGAAATAGGAATTAAAAAAAAACAACCTCACAACAAAACCACAAACCCAAAACAAACAAAAAAGTTTATTAAATATACGTAGGCATTTTGAGAAACTTCACATTTCAATTCCCAGCCCCACAAGTAGAGGGGTTGAAAATGCAGTGTGTAGAACTAATTTTACATTTGACTTTGGTCAAATTTTCAGGGATTTTTTGGAAAGTGGAGTTCCTTAGTTTTGGGGGTTTTTTTAAGGATTTTTTTTTTCCTTCTAACTTATGACAAATTAGAGGATGTTAGCTTCAACTTTTTTCCAAGAAGTAATGTTAAGGCCTATTGGCAATAAAAAGCTAATGTCTGTTTTCAATTAATGATATGTTTCAGTGAGATCATACTGAATATATAATGCCAGGCATTAACTACAAATTTGAATCAGTTGGGACTTGTGGCATCAGCAAACTAAGCCTGGGAAAACTTGAGTTTGCTTTCGGACGGGCAATTACAGTATTTTTAGCAAAATATTCTAATACTGTCTTTTGAAATTGGTCATACTGATAGAATTGGAGCTGTAATGTATAATGGGCAATTGCTATCCATATTTGTCCTTATGTTCATGGCTTAAAGTGAAAGATCATCTTAGTCTCCCATGCATATAACTTTTGTCAATTAACTTGCATTAATCATTAGTTTGAGAGGTTAAGAAAATAAGTACTAGGAGAATATTCTTCTGTCTCTGACCCCAGGAATGTTGAAGAGTGTTTTTGTTCAGTAAATTCAAAGTTAGGGCCTTCCCACTGTTTTTGTTTTTAACAAAAATGTGTTAATCTCTTTTTTTTTTTTAAATTTGTTAATCTCTTTTTTTTTTTTTTTTTTTTTTTTTGTTTTAAAGATATTAAATATTTCAATCTCATGGCACTAGGTAGCTTAAGCAGTCTTTTTGCATTAAATTACAGTTCTTTAAAGAATAAGAAACAAAGCAAACTGTCCTTCCTGAAAGGATTTTTCAACAATGGTGCCCCTGTAGTTACAAGAAACGTGTTACAGTTTGAATTACGGAAGCTATGATATGTAACATTGTTCCTGCATTTAATAGAATGTGATGAGGGTTTTTCTATAAAATCTTGTGATTTTTAGTACGATAATATTTTATAAATATAATGTCTAATTTGAAATGTAAATTGCATAGCTCTCTAATGGGTGCTTGGTAAATGCACAAGAGATTTAGCTTTGATTCTCAGGTACCTCTGACGTAACGGAGACATGCTGGGTTTTTCTTCCTCGTGACACAACTGGAATTTGAAGGAGCTCTCTTGTAAATGCTTTACTCTCTGTGTGCTGGCATAAATTGTCATTGCTCTTACTGTTTCAATTTGGGAATGTCTTTATTCTGACTTACTTCTTGTAGGAAGCACATACACTTCAAAAAAAAAAAAAGGAATTTTTATCTCAAGCATTTATTTGAATGTCATTAGATGCTTAAGGAACAGTGATTTCCCATGTCTACAAGATGGAAAATGAATACTACATGTGTTGCTCTGTCAAACAGTTGAACTAATCCCTGTAATCCTATGAGACAACCAACAATTTCTTCTGTGTGTGATTGATGTTTTGGAACTGTTTGGTTTTTATATATGGAGGAAATTATGATAATTTGCCAAGTGCCATGTAGCATGCCTTCGCTTTTAGGGTTTTGGTGAGTCTTGCATAGTTTGATGTACTGTGTACTGCGCTCAAGAACAAAGGCGAAAAAAGGATTTCGGTTTTTCTGGCTACTTTCTGTTAGGTTTCAGTCATGCCGAAAATGCGTTCACTACGAGGGGCTGCTATAGATGTAATACTAATTCAGCAAAGGACTAAAATACATGCAACATCAGTACTCAACAATTACTTAGAAAGTATAGGGCACATGAATGCCACTGAAGACACTGAGGGCTCAATGTTTCTGTTGCCCAGTGTGCACTGCATCTTGCTTGTTGGCTTTTTGCCTGTGGAAATCCATGTAGCGGGGTGGGGGTTGTAGTATGTGACTGGTTGGGCTAGAGTGAACAGCACACTGAAATTCAGAAGCAGGGAGGCTAAGGCGCTGCCTGGTTATCTTGGTTATCTCACTGTGGTGTTGCAAATGCTAAAGTATTTTGCGGAAATACGGTGTTAAGCAGTGGTATTCTTCAAATGACAAACCATGGTGCTGCATGTGATACTTGACCCGGTATGCTGGTGTATGTATTGCATACCTCCTTGTAATGTACTAGCAAAAATAGGAGAGCCTGCAAATTATTTTTCTTGGTGTGTGCTTGGTGTTGTAATTGTCATTCTCTTTCATGATCCCCACTGTGCCTAGGTACTGCTATTCACAACTATGATTGCTTTAAATAAGGTGGTAAAACGATTCTTTGTAATTCTTGGTTCCATCTCTCTTTGTATTGAATGTTATCATTCCTATTCCCTACTAAAAGTTCCTCCTGTCTTAGGGAAATTAAGTTACTGAGCTAAATTAAGCTATCAGACGAGGGGGAAAACCAGTTAAATTTTAGACATAGGGTGAGTTTATGGACATATTTTCAAATTTTGTAGGAAAATAGGCCTCAGTAAGGCAGAGTGTTTGTATGTTTGTAAATGAAGTTAAGAAGTGGCATACTAAAAAATCAAGAAACAGAAACTAATGTTAATATCACACTGATGAGTTATATGGCTAACTATAGGACGGTACTTTTAATCAGTTTTCTTTATTTGGGATAAGTTTTGAGTTAGTTACCATTTCTGTTATGACTGTCTTATGTAGTGTCTGCAATTTAATAGTTATAACTGCAGTAGCATTTAAGTATTGGCTCATAAACAGTTGTTATGCATGATTTTTTTTTCCTATCTAATCCAGAACTGCATTAATGCTGTATTTTGTTTTACATGGTTATTGCAGGGCATGATTTCTCAGGGAAATATGGATGATACCATGCATTGTGAGAGCTGATAACTAATTACTGCTTTTAAAATTGTTACAAACATTTTCACTCAAACATTTCACATCACATAACTTTAATGTTGAACTTCCTTAGGCTTATCAGGTAAATCATGATGACAATGCTAAGACCATTTAAAGGTGTCAGTAAAATACACTCTGCCCAACACTTTGTTACTTTTTTGGACAAACATCCATTCTAAACTGATGCTGCAATTTGTGTGTGATTTTTTTCTACTTTATTGTACTATGCGCCATATAAATTAATAGTTGCGCTGCTGATTTTGAAGCTGCACTTACGGCATGAGAGTGACATTAACTTTCAGGGTTAGGCAGTGCTATAGTAATACATAATCTGATTCTGGGGTAGAGTACAAATATAAATTTTCTAACATATATATATTCATTTATACCATTAAATTTGTACAAAGTCTGTTCACTTTGGGGATTTTTGTTTGTTTTTCCAGTAAAGTTACTTTGGCTATACTGGGATTTGATCCAAAGCCCACGAGAGTCATAGACAGCATTAATAAAGTAAAACTTCATTGAAAAGAAACTCCGCAGTCAGGTTGACCTTTATGCCTTTGCACTGTTTCTGTCTGCAGCATACATTTGGAGTGGTTTGCTTTAAGACTTCAGTAATACAAATTTGAGGTATTTTAGTGCTGGTAAAAATGGTAAACATACTACTGTAACTGTCACAAAAAGTATTTCCCTATAGTCAGCATGCAGCTTAATTATTTAGAAGGCAAATTTGTCTTGCTACATGACTTTTCTTAAAAATCAGCAGTGTAAGAAATGTTAACCACTTCACTTAGTTGTATACTTCTAGGAGAATTTTTGGTCAATAGTGAGAATATGTGATCATAGTCATCATAGCCTTGAGGATCAACTTCCTCTTGATGATTTCTGATTTGACATTTCCATTTACATTCACTTCGCAAAGAATGCAACAGGGCATTTCCTCTCTAGGTAAAGTTACTGTAATTGTGTTTTGACTGCCCTAGTTCTCTATATTGTCAGTAATCTAACATAAAACATAAATCTAACATATAAACGTGACTCTACTTAGTTATCTGCGTTCTCACTCTCCTCTGAGGTAAAGTATTGCATCATTACATCTGATATTAGTAGGTAACCAGAC